TGGGGTTTTGTTTTCAGGTCGTGAAGGAGAACCTAGAAGTGTCATGGAATTTGTAGATAAAGCATGAGAGAACAAAATGATCCAGTGAAATGAGTTGAGGTCTCAAATACTCTGTTCATTAAGAAGGCAGAAAACACTGTATACTCATGAATGAGTAATAGTATGCTGCGTTGGAAGGGTAAGTGTGCAGTGAACACCTCACCACGTTAAGACAGCTAGTTGGCCGGCGGACAGATGAATGATTAGTAACTGACTAAGCTTTGTTGATCGATAAATGCCTCATCTCGTATGGGGTGGGGAGGCTTCTACATGGGCTGCACTGATTTTTAGTAAAACAGCATTATAATTGATAGTTCTGAGTGCTTCAGAAGTGAATCGGTGAAAGTTTGTTTGCAGTTGATGCCCTTTTTTTGCTGAACTGTGTGTGGGTGCTTGGGACAGGGTCAGGTCAGCTAGTAGGTTTGCATAATGCCTTCTCACCTGGTCCATAGTCTTGGCACTGAGAATTCACTAGTCCTGACATTGAGGCCAGGCTCCTTAGGTTGAAATTCCCAGAAAAAGGGTAAATGATTCACAGACTTTGCAAGCTGGGAGGCTAAATTAATTCACTTGCCCCGCCTTGCTCTGTAACCACATCGGCTACAAAAAATAAAGAGTTTAAATGGTCCTGTGGATAGAAGCTGAAGTGTGAGGGGAGCATTTATGTAGCAAAAATGTTTGTTGTTCAGTCACAGATATTCGATGACCTAATAAGTTCCTGTCTAGTCCATTTATCTTCAAAGCACCATCTTTCCAGGGAATGCACATTTCCTATCTGGGTGGCTTTTATCTTGTCTTACGTGACCTCTAGGTTTTCTTCTAAGTCCACTTGAGCCCTTGCAGTTAACAGAGAGCAACTGAGACTGATATTATCCCTTAGCTTAAATATCTCATCTCTCCTTGGTGTTTACATTCCCGTTGCATTTATAGATAGCAATCACATCCCCTCTCAAGCTTGATTTTCCTAGACTCGGTAAAACCAAGCACACCTAGTGTCTCCTTATGTGAGCAGCTGTCTATCCTGGTTATCCTCACTGGTCCTTCTAGACACATGTTCCAAGCTGATTTAATTTTTCTTAAGCCTGGGAGATTGGAATTGCATACATCATTCTGGATGGAGTTTCACCAGTACCTTTTACATGTGTTAAAAACCTTCATATTTTGCTAAATAGGCAGCATTTGCCTTTCATACTATAGCAGTTTGGTGGCCCCGTCCTCCTGTGATTAGTTGGTACATGTCAGAATTTTTTTCTCAGTTGGTTCCAACTGATGAGCTCACATCCTAGGACAGACGTCTTTGTGCATAATGTCAGGTCCTGCAACAATTCTTTTGCAAAAGGATTTAAGAAGTTGTATAGCTTGGAGTCCGTAGTGCATTGGGAAGACTCTTGGTTCCAGTATTGCATTTGAAAGCACATGAATGGACTTTTGAACCTGTGTGGAGTCCTATTAAGTCAACAGAGCTGTGCATGAATGCAGCAATATGCCCCATATAAAACCAGTTGTAGGCTTGGGATCTTATGTGGGGAAGCTGAGCTCCAGCAGCCACCCGGCTCTGTTGCTTTTCTCAAATATTAGCTAGGTGGCAAAAACAAAATTGTTGCTTATTTTTGTCTTTGGCTGGCCACTTCTGGTGTGTTGCAGTGGATAGGTTTTGCCCCCGGAGTAACACAGATTCATGTTTTCTCATTGACTATACATGGAGGGGGATTTTCATTCACTGATATTAGAACTGGTAAGGCAGCCTGAAAAGGTTAAACATTTATAATTATTGAACAAATGAACCTGAGTGACTTGAGTGGCAACAGTTGGAGGAGCTTGGAAAATGCTGCTGCAGCAATTCTAAAAGCTGGGGTTACAATTTAGCACAGCTCATTTATGTGCATGTCTTGTGGTGATCTTCACTTGGTCTCAGGTAGATATTTGGTTTCCTGCTTTGGCTCTGTTGTTAATGGCATCAGGAATACCAGTGGGATCACAGACCAGGTTGAGGTCATTGGCAGATGCAACTAGGGGAACTTTTGTGGTTTCTCCACCAGCATTTTTTATGTGGTTGTAGCCCATGATATTGCTCCTCAGACTTTCACTTCCTTTTGAAGGAACAGCTGTAAATTTTGATCCAGTGCTGCTGTCACATCAGCATCAGGAACTGCAGCCCAGAGATGATTTTAGAAATCGTGGCTTGTTGGAGTTGCTTTGTGATCATGACAGCAGATAGGTAGAGGGGAGAATTTTCCTTTTGTTTTCTTTGACAGATTCTGCAGTGCAATCTCTTTCTCTTGGATAATCCTTTGAGAAGCTGGGAATGCATACCCATTTCCAAACTGTGCATAGACCCAAGTGCAGGACACATGCCATAAAGATCAAGGAATCCCCTTAGAGTTCCTGGTATCTTCATCACCATCTGTTATTAGAAGCTGTTGGTAATGGAAGAGTATCCTTTCGGGGCATTTTACACCTTGTTGGGCTAAATATCTTTAGGCAACATAATCGTTACTCAGGATAATGGTTAGGAGAACAGGTTAATACTTGCATATTAAGCTCCATAAATGATTATTGGCCTTGAATGATGTTATTGTTTCACGTGTCTTTTAATTCTTGTCCACAACAACAGATGTTAGGGTGAATATGAGGCCACTCTGAGTTCCCTTGTGTTCAAGGATACCAGATTATTTACGAAGGGAAATGTGTTACAGTGAAACCCTATTAAACCTTGCATCCAATGGTGGCTTGAGAGTGCATGAAAAAAAAATGTAGGTATGTACAAACCCTGACATTTCTCACCCTTTATATGGTCCGTTATGTCAGAAGGCAGGAGACACTGCCTTCTGACACAGAACAGGAGAGAGCTGAGCCCCACTGGTAGCAACTTAAAGATATTTCAGCCAACCTGTGTACGTTTTCAGTAATGTAAAATATATACATGATCCTGGAAGCATAGACCAGAACCAGACCTCTTTTTTCCTCTTCCCTCCTTGCTCGGTGGCATTGAGATAGAGTCGAGCTCCCTTTTGCCGACCTCTGGTCTGTAACCAAGGCAGTGTATGGACCCGTCCTGGGAAGTGGAAGATCTCAGACTGAGAGCATTCAGACCCAGAAGGGCCTAGAAGCTAGCACTCCCTCTCCTTGGGGCAGTGTTCTGTGTGGCTAGTATTTTAGGAGGTGAGCACTGCTACCTCTGTCAGCCAGAAGTCTGAATTAAGGCAACCACGGGTGCTGCACGCAAGGCTAGATCCACTGAGTCATGTTCTGAGCCCACCTGCCAGATAGTCTCTAAGCCCTTGGAGAGGCCCAGAGTTTGTGCAATTCTCTGCCTTGAATCTGGATAGCATTAGTTGCCTTGTGCTCACACCAGGGCACTTCTGCAGCTGCACAGAAGCCTATGCTTAGGCAGCTAGGGAACTCTGTAGTGCAAAATACTGTTGGTGTTTGAACTGAGGTACTCAGTGGGTTCTGGATCACTTTTTGGGGACCTAGGTGCCTACAATGGCTCTCTGGGTCTTGCCTTCTGTCCCTGAGCTCCCCATCTGTGAAATGGGTATAATCACCTCCCAAGGGGGTTGCAAATAGGAAGCAGCATATGGGGACAGTTCCAGGTGGCAGAACAACAAGTGTCGCAGAAAAGCCCATGAGGAAATGTTGTATTCAGAATAGGGGCTGCACTGTAAACAGTTAGGATAAAGCCAGATCATTACCAGCTGCGCAGCACTGTTCATTCAATACCCTTGGCGAGGCAGGAGTCCCATGGAAATAATAATAAAGGTCTGTCCTGTTGCGGTAACACAAGGAAGCTGAATAAGTTGCACAGGCAGCCTTAATTTAGCATTTCCTAACTTGTGAATTATTGAGATTTACAAAATCAGTCGCGTTCTTCTAGCACAGCATTGTGTGTGCAGTTGATGGAGAAAGGCAGTGAATAAGGGCAGTATTAAAAGGATTTTGACAATTAACTCCGAACCATTAATAGAGCTTCAGTTTTGGAATGTACTGATCAAAATCCACCTACGCACTGTATCTGGTAGCTGAACATGTGGGTAAGTGAGAAGCAGGTGTCACTATGCAATTTTAGCCCTTTAGTTTTAACTTCAAAATGACAGAAAAGTCAGATGACCAAACCAAGCAGCACCATTAATACTTCCTCTTTCATGTGATCCTACACCCACCAGAATGCACATATGATACGAGTCACTCTCTAATTCAAAGTATTTCCTGGTGGGTGGGAAAAATAAACCCTAGGGCTATAGTGCCCCACCCTTTAGGTTAGATTTCAGAGCATCCAACTCTGTTACATCTCATGGTACCAGAAAACGTGGAGGCCATGTTAGGAAAAGTTCTTAGAAGCCTGATTCTTTGGACCGTAGCAGGAACAAAGATCCAAATGGATGGTTAAATAATAGTTTTAGAAGTGAACACAATGAAAGTTCGTTCTTGAAGAGAGATTATCAATCCTAGCGGCATTTCCCATTTTATAGATACTCTTTCCGAAATCATTACATTCTGATTTTGGAGAAAATATCTAAGTGTACCTAGTGCACAGTTGATAAATGTGTGGAGAGCTGTTCTGTTCTTTTTGGGAGGGGGCATAGTGATTGCCTGGATAGAGACTTACTCGGAGTTTCGTAAACACTTCTGTGATTCTTTAAAAGAAAAAGAGGGATTCACAAATCAAACGGACATTTTAGGTCAGTGGTGGGGAAGGCTGTGTTCGGCAGCTAGAGAATCCCTGGTGTGGGTGTGTGTTATCTTGAAAGATTAATCACGAGAGCATACACCATTTTTTCAAATTGCAAAATGTGTTTCGGAAGCTTTAACAAAAAGGGTTATTCTGTGGTAGCTTAAAGTGTGCTTTTTGTGAGTGGCTAATTTTTGGATAGATTTGGGAAGTTTAATGCAGGCAAAAGAAATAAGGCACTGTAATTTTTGATGACATAAATAGATTTCCTTTTATTTCAGAGTTGGCTGGCTAATTATGAAGTTTTTTAGCTGAAGGCTGTACTGTCGATGAGTCTGAATCGTTACATGTGCACCCCTAATTTGCTAACTGCTGACCTTTCCTTTTCAAACTTTATTTGCCTTGCTTTTCTTCGTGGGAATTGTGGACAGGTAAGTCTTGTTCAGTTCGGGAGAATCTTTCCACAAAGCACCTGAGACCGACTGTCAGTTTTGTGTGGGTTTTGGTTTTAATTTGTATTTACCATATGTTGTCGCACGCCACACACCCTGGGGTGTAATACACACCTTGTTTTTGAAAGCTAGAATAAAGGGAAACAAATTCCTTCTAGTAAATAACTGAGGAGCAGTAGGTGGGGAGCCTGGCCCGCGGGTTGTTCTGCCCCGGGGGGATTGCTGCAGATTTACTGTTTCAGCTCTAAGGGACAGAACCTGCTCTTGCTGTATTTCTCACGTATAATATGAACGCCAGTCTCCAGCAGTTGGGAAAGAGGTGCGTGTTGCATGCAATAAAATATGGTAATTTATCACCGGAGAAAGGTGCTGTGTTGACAGCCTTGAAAGCTGACTTCCTTTGTTCACAGGTCACGTATAACATGTGTACTGCAGTTGGCAAGCCCTTCTCCCACTGCCAGGAGGGCCCGTCGCTCGGGATGAGAAGGGATTTTACTTTTGGTTATCCATGACCACCTCACTGGGACGCCTTACTTCTCATGGTGATGGCGGTTCTTTTTGGATGTGTCCACAGGGCACCGAGCTTCGACCATTGCCTCAATCCCCACCGAGCAGCTATGATGTAGTAAATGTGGGTGCCAAATGAGTCCCGGCCAACTCAGAAATTTTAAGCAAGGGTAGGTTCTTGCAGGTGGTTGTTCCTGGCTTCCAGGCATTCATTCAGGAGCTGCTGTTCCTGCGATGATGTAATGTGTCTGATCTGGAGACTGCTCCATGAAATCGCATCCGTTTCTTAAAGTTTTATACAGTCAAAGAGCAAGAAGACTCTCTGTAGTGGGACCGTGTTTGCATCTAGACCTTTAATATCTTTACCGCTCTCTGTTTTAATTACAAAATGGATCAAATCTTCACTTAACTTGTCTGAAGATGCAACTGATTCTTGATTGCCCCGGTTTGAATTTGTATGTAAAACTTGGTATGGAAACTGCAGTTGAGCATTTATCTTCAACTGTTGCTTCCTGTGCTCATCAGATTCATGAGACGCGTGCGTATCTCTGTTCTTATCAAAAGGACACCCCACCCTTTTTCTGATACTGGTTTTGTCAGAATCAAGTGTTTTGATCTATATAAGGCAAGGCTAGTTTTATTGGGTTTCAGAACAGTTTAGTTTGCTGTTAAAACATGCCATTTGATTACGGTTGAGTGTTGTCCACAATCTTTACTCCTTTTGGAATTATTCTCAATTCACGCTGGTGTGTGTTAGGAAAATAATTTGTTGCATCTTAATTGCCTGCAAGTTCCAAATTGCTGTGTAACAGGCTAGCATTGCCTTCACAGTGAAAACCGGTATTGGCACACAGGAAGTTCTTGTTTGCATCATTTCTGTGGCTTTTTAGAAACGGAGTCTATCTATTATTTATCATTTTAAACGTAGGTTTTTTCAGAAGTACAAAAGCAAATTGATAGGGGTGTGTCATTTTCATTTGGGGACCATTTCATCTGTGATATGAAAGTGCTTGATGCAAAACAGCTAGCGGCAGTTTCCCGGTCACAGGCCCTGGTTCTCATCGGGGATTTCGGCCACCCTGATATCTGCTGGGAGGGCAACACAGCAGCGTGCAGGCAATGCAGGACGCTTTCGGAGAGTGTTGGGGACAACGTCCTGGTGCAGGTGCTGGCGCAGCCGACTAGGGGCCGTGCTGTTCTTGACCTGCTGCTCACAAACAGGGAAGACTTGGTGGGGAATTTAGTAGTGGATGGCAACTTGGGCAGCAGTGACCACAGGATGATTGATCTTGATCCTGAGGAAGGGGAAGAAGGAGAACAGCAGAGTAAGGACCCTGGGCTTCAGAAAAGCAGACGTTGACTCCCTCAGGGCACTGATGGGCAAGATCCCCTGGGAGACCAGTCTGAGGGGGAGAGGAGTCTAGCACAGCTGGTTGTATTTTAAAGAAACCTTACTCAGGACACAGGAACGAACCATCCCGACGCGCAGGAAGAGTAGCAAATACGGCAGAAGCCTGGCTTGGCTTAGCAAGGAACTCTTCAGTGAGCTAAAAGGCAAAAAGGGAAGCTTACAAGAAGCAGAAACTTGGACAGACAATTAGGGAGGAGTATAAGAGCATTGCTCAGGCCTGCAGGGGTGAAATCAGGAAGTTCAGAGAGGCCTCGACAAATTGTAGGATTGGACCAAAAAAAATCTGATGAGGTTCAATAATGACAAGTGCAAAGTCCTGCCCTTAGGACAGAACGATCCCAGGCACCGGTGCAAGCTGGGGACGGCCTGGCTGGGCAGCAGCTCTGCACGCAAGGACCTGGGGGTGACGGTGGGCAATAAGCTATTGGGATGTGAGCCAACTCTAGGAGGGTCCTAAAGCACTGCAGTTGCTTTGAGTGGGGGGGTTGGACTAGATGACTTCCTGAGGTCCCTTCCCCCCCTTATTTTTCTATGATTTCTAAAACCATTGATCTTTTAAAGATTAAATAGTTCTAAATTGAGCTTTTTCTTTAGAAAGTATTTTTCGAATTGGCGTAAAAGAAGTGCTGTTGGGAGGGGAATTGCAGAGGCAGTTATGAAGTATCATTTGGGAAATAGTATGTGCACATGCTGACTTTGTCAAGGAATAGCTAGTATAGTCTGCTTTTTTTTTTTTTTTAAAGCAGAACTGACCGTGGATACATAACATAGCAATGGAGAATTTACATGGTCAATTCAGAAAGGTCTGTTGAAACGAGAAATTAATATATCTGGAGAACCCCACATCATTCTTTTTATTTGAACTTGAATAACAAAAGCTGCCCGTAGTTTAGCCGAATCTCAGTCTGCAGGGTTGCCGTGGGAATTATGAAATGATTTGAGATTCATCTAACTGTTCAGAGACCGATTTTCTTGAGGGGTGATTAGAGTATTTTCAGGAATCCAACTTTTTTTATTTAATCGCTGGGGTTGCACCTTCAATTTACTTTGTGCACTTTATTGAACAAGCCCAGACCCTACTGACGTCATCTGCATAGGAAGAGAGGAAGTATTTGTTCGTGTCTAGTCTCATCTGACTTGCCTCTTATCCGCGGAGGAAAAGTATCCCCAATTGGGCTAGTCCTGAACTGAAATCACTAACACAGCATCATTGTGGAACTTGCATATCGTTTTTTTTCCCCCTGGCCTTTGTCCTAGAAGCCTTAAGCTATATTTTCTTGAAATCCCAACCAAATGTTTAGACCCTAAAAGTACTACTCACTTTTAAATGTCAGTCATCTCTCAGATGATTGATGGATTAGGTAACGCCAAGTAACTTCAGGAAGTGCCTAGATGAGGCGTACTTATTTATTTAATTTATGCTGCAGGTCATATTGGGAATGACAGTGGGTCACACATTTCCCAGTGGTTTCAAATTGTTGCTTTTGTAGTATAAGTGAGCGGCGGTGAGGTATTTGGGCAGCTTTGTGCTCTCCTAACCTTTGGGTAAGAACAGCTGTTGTTGCAGGTATCTTATTATTATACAGTCGTTTAAAATGGCAGAGGCTGAGGGAAAATGTGAATAATAATAAGTGAAAAGTGCATTTTGGAGTATTACTAATGCTTAAGAGCAATAGTAAGCGGTGAGAATTCAAGAATTATTTTGCATGAATCTCCAACAATGTTTGTTCAAAGTAACATTGGTAAATCACAGTCTTCTAGGAAGCTCATTCTGGGTACTGCTGTAGTATCCAAGGTGATGATACCCCGGGAATAACAGAAGAAGGGTTTCACTTTTGAGTAAAGCAAATTAATTCACCTCCTCTACCATACTGAAGCTTCCTTCCACAGAAAGCTGTGTGGGAATGACAGGGTGGTCACTCCCCATCTCCTATAAAAATCGTGGGATGTACCCCAAATTTAATGAAGAATTCAAAGCAAAACCCATGCAGAATTTTTAAGATCAGGTCTTTTATAGCAGGCCATCGGCTGTTTCATTCTTTAATTTCTGCGCTATTTGGCTGGAATCCCACGCTCGTCTCCTTTTTATACAGGTACAGAGCAGATGAAGAACAGCCCGAGTTTCACTCTGGCTTGTGCTGCAAACCAGTGGTTTGGAGGAATGAATGTATTTATTTCCCTGACTAGTTAAGGCGCCACTGGTACAAAGGGCATCTCTAATATTTGTAACTGAGAAGCCAGTGTTGTAATCGCTTGCCACAAGACCATGCCGATCCTCTTGTTTCTTCTCATTAGTGGATCTTTTAGACCCCCTTGATCTTGACATTGCAGTCTGCAGACACTCGGTCTTTGCCGCTCCGGGGTTCACGCTTCACTCTTAGGGAGCTGGAAGCAGAGACCCCTTGGTTCCCAGTCGTTACGCTCTTGTTGTACTTCTTGTGTCTCTGACCGAACGATTCTGCATGTGAGAGTAAAGGTTCCACAATAGAAAATTCTTTGCATTTGTCAGGTTGGTTTTTGTTCAAGGAAATAACATTTACGCAACCCTGGTCGACTGGGGTTTGGAACAAGCTGTCCCCTCTCGGAGAGTGTGTGCTATTAAGGGACAGGCAGATAACGCCCCCCGATGCAGTTGTGCGTGTATTGGTATGACCGTGCCTTTTCCTTGTGAGACCCAACTCTGCATTTTGAAATTGGGGCTTGGGAGCACTCTCTAGAGTCCTGAGCATTTCACCAGTGAGCCAGCGCCGCTTTCTGCCGCCTTTGCTGTCATTATTGTGCTGGCAATTTATTTGTCTTCAAAACAGCTCAGAAGCCATGACCGTGTTGTTACTAGTTTGTCTAGGAATTGTCCTTTTGCGGTGAATGCTTTTCCACTTACAAGTGGAAACAAATTCCTGGTTTTGATTTGATGTTTTCAGTCAACTGCCTGGTCTCTTCTGTAGCCCTTTAAAATCAAGGCCACTGGTCCCATTCTAGCCTTTCTGTAACGTAAAGACATTTTAAAGAGGGGGGGAGGACACATCCTGCTTTGGGGTGCCAGATTTTTATGGCGTTTCCAAACCACGTCCTTCAAAATTCTGACGTTCCAAGAGAACGGTTTTGAGAGGTTTGAATGAAACTGAGACAGATTTGTTGATGTACACACTACAGTGCCTTAGCAACCAAAACTGCATCTAGTCCAAGAATTGAATATTTAGACTTTAAACAACTGATTCTTACCAGTCCAGGAGTATCTTTCTTGCTTCTCAGAATATAAAAACAGTCATTAGGCCAACAATGAGGAGCAATGTACCCTAAAATATAGGTACACAGTGAGAGGAGGGAATATTATGTGACTGGTGTCCTGGTTAGATCATCTTAATTGCCGTTCATTGGGATGTGGGGTAAACAGCTCTTCCCTGAGTATTTAAACGATTCCAGACTGTACGTCTTCAGTTCGGAATTGGGACTTGGGGACAGTCTGACATTAAAATATGAGTTTGTTTTGCAAAAGCAGGCCAGAGGTCAACCAGAAATGACTGAAAATGTTGGCATTAGTAACTTGATAAATATTATTTAGAGACGAGCTCTTGTAAAGAGGGGAAGGATCTTAAAAATTAAAAGGCAGGAGGGTTCCGTTAATTTAAACTGGTTAGGGACAATGCTGTTTTTAAGAAAGACCAAGATGACAGTGAAAATAAATTGAAATTTAATTCAGTGTACAAAATATTCTTCCTTTTTTTTTTTGCCTTCTCAAAAATTATCTCAAATTGAACATATGGGAAGAACCTGCTAATAAAAATGAGATTACACCATTTGAAAAAGTCTCTTTAAAATAAGGTTTTCCTGCATCCTTTTAAACCGTGCTGTTTGCCATGTTTTTGACACTCATACAAATCTGTTATTGTGAGGAATTCATTTTCGTGCCCAGAATGTAAGATTTCAATTGTTCTGCAGCTTTCTAATGGGCCGTTCCCAGGGTTAAGAAACTGGCTCCTTCACAGTAAGAGGATTTCCTACGTAGCAAAAAACAACTTGGACAAAGTCGGTTTGTTTAAGAGCAGATGCTGGAAGCTTTGCAAGTTTGGTTAAATGCTTATACTTCTCCACGAGGATGACTTTGTATGTATTATGTGACTGAGCTTTTTGATCGCATTTTTGGCATTTGTGTGGTCAAACATGGCATTGATACAAGGTTTTAAGTTCTGGTCCCTGAATATAGCTGCTGAGATCAATGCTTTATGGTTCCTTATGAGCTGTTGATGTAAACCCGAGTGTGATCAGTGACTGAAGAGCCGATTTGTTTTTCTGTCATTTATCAGCACAGAGTTGTCAAGCTACCCCCTTTCATCTTGTCCATCCTAGACAATTAACTTTGTTTTGTGCCCTGGGGCCAGTGTTCCTAATCCGTGCTGTTTTGAGGAGGAAGATGTTCTGGGTAGTAAGTGCCTGAGCACAGCGGAGTACATTTTAACTCTTTAAAAATGCCGTAATATTGTCTCTCCCTTTTTGTTTTTTATAGCTACAGCTGCAGAAAACACAGTATTTGCAGTTGGGACAGTCTCGTGGCCAGTACTATGGAGGGTCACTGCCAAATGTGAATCAGATTGGGAACAGTGCCATGGACCTGCCCTTCCAGGTGAGCTTAAAATCAAGGCTGTAACTTCTTTCTACTGGAGACTGCTTGTAACATGTTGTGAACATAGAAACATACCTTGTCACATCAGCATACCTGTATTAAAGCTAAATGCTTGAAATATATCATTTTATCGTATAAAAAGCAGGTAGTTCTAGTATGGTAAATCTTGTGTTACCAACATTGGTTTATAATTCTGCTGCCGCAGTTGTAGAGGTCTTCTGGTGGGTGCCAAACTCAAAGCAGTGGCTATCAAAGTGACAGCTTTACTAATGAGTGCACGTGGCCTTGGTCATAAGGGCCAGATATCGAATATGACACTTGCCCACACAAGCAAAAGGGAAACAAAGCAGGTCACGGTGCTTCATGCCCAGAGCTCTGTGCAGTAATAAAGGGGCTCCGTTTGCAAGAATGTAGATCTTTATTTAGAAGCACCCTGTGCTCTGTGCTGCTGCTCGCAGCCATGAGGTGCAGCATGTGCTTGGAGCTATTGTGAAACTCTCCAAGCACATGGAGCTTCCCGACGCAACCCTCCAAACCATCCCCACTATAACTTGTGTTCCAGCTGTACACGAGGTAACCCAGAAAAAGTTGGTGGTGGCAGGCTTGGGGAGCAGGCCATTATCACATGAATGCTTTGTGGAATTTGGTGCAGGTTTTTTTGGCACTTTTTGAGGGAGTGAAATGTCTTAATAGGATGTCCTTTGACTAAGTTCTAGGCTCCATTCTTTTGTCTGGCTACTGTCGAGGTTTTGCGGCGTGCACGAGCCTATTTTTATCATGACTCCGATATCTAGGAGATTCTTTTCTCCTGATGCCTGACTCTGGCCGCTTTTTACAATTATTTCTGGCTTTCAAGTCTGTTTAGCTTGCATCAAACGGACACTGCCAAGGCAATCCTATGACTTAATTTTTTCCCATTTTATTAGTTAGTGCCGATATTACTGAAATCGAGAGTTGAAGTCCCCATTTAAGTTCCACTTCTAGGTTGCTTGTCTCCTTTCTGTTTTAGGATTTTTCATGACAGCAAACACCATAGTGCCCAAGTGCTTGTGAGGGTCTTAAGGGACTTGTGGAGCTTTCTGCTCTTCTGCCTTTTCTGGAATAGAAACTTCTGGCTGAGCTGCAAAAAATGTTACGGATGCATGCGTCTCTTCCTTGCCTTCCATAGCACCTCACCTGGTGAAGAGGGGGCAGCTTGCTTAGAGCGGAGGGTCTTCACATGTAGCTGAAATGGTGAACGCGGTCAGGCGTGGGCTCACATACAGAAGTCAGTTTCACAGCCGGTATCCCTGTGACTGAAGGCACGTATGTCAGCTCTTGTGCGTCTCATCTTGGGCCGTGGCACTATAGATCACAGCTTTCTTGGTGGGCGACGGAGGTTGACGTGCTTGTGATGTTGGCAGGCGTAGCTAGTTTTAATCTATTGATGGATCTTGAGGATTGGGAACAGGACCACAGACTAGGACCCAGTGAAAGACTTGGCCCAGCTGGGACGAGGAGGTGCTGCGTTCTGTGTTGCATCAGCCCTTGTTCATATATTCGTTGTGGATGATGGAGCTGAACTCGTCTGTTTTGATTCTTACCCTGTTGCATTTGAGCTTTCAACACTTAATCTCCCATCAAAGGTTTTCATTAATTACAAAAAATTAGATCTGTTAAACTTCTTTAACAAAACATGTACTTGGGATGCCTCCAATATATGGCAAATGTGCACTTTTCATTAAAAGTGATTTGTGCCAGACACATTTCTAACCCCTCACAGTGTCATGTCACCCATCTTATAAAAGTTACTCACTGTGAAATGGGCAGAAAATGTCATTTTTTCCCCCTTTTGCTTGTCTGCTATCCATAAGCATGTTTATAGAGGAAAAATTCTGTAGTGGCCAGAATAGGGCAGTGATTCTCAACTGGGGTTGCCCACGATCCTTATACAAGTGACATATATAATATTAGCATTGTTAGGCGTGCAAGCACCCACACGTGATTCACAAGATAAACGCAGAGTTTTCAAGTAAGAATCCGGTGTGTCAAACACTTTCTGACCTGTTGCGGGCTTTCTGAGTTCTTTGCGACAGAAGAACTGCTCTTTTTCTGTAGTCAAAAAACTCACCGCAGTAAGTTTGTTTTTGAAATAGGGTGCTGCGAAATTCGGAAGAGTTATGGAAGGTGCCTTGAGTCTACAGAGGTTGAGATCCACTGGTGGTTAGGCTCCTAGTGCCTTTTGGGGTCTCCGGCTGACTTTGTGATCGTGGGCAGTGATTCAGAACTCGCTGTTTCATCTTCCCCAGGACCGCTGTTACCGTTCTGCCTCCCCAGGGTTTTGTGAAAATTAGTTTTTGTAGTTTGCGGTTCTCTGATGAAAACCAGCCTAATAAAGAGAGGTTATTGTCATTAACTATCCTTAGTTATACATTTTAAATGTATATAGACAACTGTGTTAATGGGAATTCCTGGAGTGTGAATCTCAGGCAGCAGTAAAGCATTACTTTAGTCTAGCTGGCATTAGGGAATATGAAGCAGGCACTGCAATGCTGCGAAGAGTCTTTAACGCACCTCCCCGGGCAGCTGGTGCCTCCATGCTCTACATATTTTGTAGTTGCCATTTGCATGAATGAAGGCCATAATGACTATCCGTTTTAAGCAAAATAGCAGTTTATTAGTAATTACACTTGCTGGCCATTGCTACCATTATCAAGATTTAGTTGGAACTGAAATACTGGACACGTTGCAAGATTACAAATGAATTCAACAGATGACTATAACAAGTTAATCTCTGGGAGATGGTGCCTGTTGCACTTGCCCATTCTTCCCGAAAATGGAAAGGTTCCGGTTTGAAACATAAGGGTCCAGAGTGACTCACCTCTCCTACAAACGATGAAGTTAAAATATGTTGTTGTTTTATATCAGCGCTACAACGTTTCTAGTCTCTGGCATTTATAAGATTCCTGCATTTGAAGCTACAAGGTAATAAACCTGTCAAGCAGTGTGGTGTGCACGGTGTGCGCGGCGGCCTCTGCAGTCGGAGGGGTGGCGATCTGAGCGTCTCGGTTCTTTGCATTTACAGCCCAGCGGAGCTCTGGCAGAAGCCTTTGGAGCAGTTCCTGTCTCTTCGGTAAACAAGCCTTTAGGCTTGTACAAATACGTATTTAGCACTGGGGTGGTGTTTACCCAGGTAGATACGTATTTTGGCACACGTGTTGACCCTACGTGCGGTATTCATTTGATGCGCCATCACAGCTCCAAGGGAGGAGCTATGGTCTGTCAAATAAATACGAGCTGCTTCATGCATCGCCGTGTGAAACGTGCGTATTGAGTCCTGGACAGACTCTGTTGCTGGACTTGCCATGATCTGCCGTTTTAATTCCTTCTGGGTTATGGAGTAAATGGTCTGATGAAAGACGATGGCTCTCTGGCTCTGTCTTGGCCTGTGGTTTAAAGTGGTCTATGAGCATGTGCACTTAGCTTGCATGCCAACCTTGAGGGGGAGAAGAAGGGTGGTTAGCAAACGCTGCTTGTTACCAGGGGGCTTTGAGATGGACGTGGATAGGTGCCACTTCTATTGCTTTCCTCCTCCTTCATCTTGCTTGTCTTTATCTCGGAAGTCAGTGAATGTCTTGATACATTTTAAAGGGACACTGCCACTTGAAGCTCTGCGCTTTCTTTCCCCCTGCCTATCTGAGAAAACTCAATTGTCTTAAGCACTTTTTCATTGGATTGTCTCAGGGTTTTCCGCCGGGCTCTGATCTCTCATCAGTTTGTGTCCGTGGACATGAACCCACTGTGGGTAGAGGGAGGCCGTTTAAGCGCTGCTCTTTTCCTCTGCAAAGGACAGACAGAAGCGTATATGTATTGTTCTAGTTAAGTATATTCGGTTTAGTTATCAGGTGCCCTCCTGGGATAAGAAATTTAACAAAGGCATATTGGCAAAGATTTAATCCTGAAAGACTGAGGTGATGCTGGGAGAAGCCAAAAACCAGCCCAGTGGAGCCTGTTAACAGAGCTGTTCTGCCTTTTGGGTACTCATTTGGAAAGGCTGGCGGTTCAGTGGTCTTGGTCTGCCGCTGCCTATGCAGAGCAGCAGGGGCCAAGATGACATCTCTGCTTGGTCAGCAGGTGGGAACCTGCTTTGTATGAACTCTCGCCCCAAATCCTGTCATTAATGCTGTAACGTGGAGAGAACGACGTGCAGCGCATGGGAGTTCGTACCTCAAACCCACTCCGAGTTCAGGCGATGCCAGTTTGAGTGGTGGCTCGTGCTCTGAACACATTATATCTGCCTTGGCTTCCAT